TATATACGCTTCAAATAAAAAAAAGGACCCGACCCAGTCTCACTTCCTTTCCGTTTCTACAGTACCACTGTCCACTCTGCAGGTGGCGCTGTTTCTCTCTCTGGCAGCACAGGGTCATTGGGTTTGAGTGCATGCCACTGAGTGCCACTCAATGGCGCATGCGCAGTAACCTCGTTTGGCCTTTGATGCGCTCATATTTTGTCCGCTGCTCGGCTCTGAAAAACAACATTTTACCGTCTCCGTTTGGCTTCAGTACACGGTTTTAAACATCCTGCTGACAAGAAAAGCCACCGTGACGGTTCGGTGAGTGGAGCCAGCCTACGTTCATGTAAGAAATCTTGGGTTTTGCCTGTTTAAGCGGTATAGTCGTCTACTTAGTTTTTTTTTTTTTTTTTTTTTTTTTAGCTCAACTGATGAGCGGTCTCTTTAGTTAGCTGCCATAATGCCTTTTCTGGAAGAATAACAACATGATTGTGTGGATAATATTAGTCTATATAATATCTAATAACCAGTAAACGTACCTGTAGTAGTGAATTGTTCATCTACACCCGAAACTGTGGTTAAGAATCGAAGCTAAATGTGCTAACTAACCGCGGTTTGTATCCGCATCGTTTAACATTTAATTTAGCAAAAATTACCAAATTTACTAACGTCAGCAGTGGTATTTTCAACTACTGAGTCTTTCTTTTGTTACTTTGCCTAAATTTAGAAAGCATACGGGGTTTTGTTTTGAAGGAAAGTGCGGCGTGAACGTGCTAATGCAGCTAACTAGCATTTGGCTACTTTAAAAATGTAAACGAATGCTTACAAATGTTAACCATTGTTTCACAGTACATCAGGTAAAATGCAGGATTGCATGGTTAGAATATCAGCTGTTGACATGATTAGATAAGCCTTGTTAAAGAAGATGTTTGTAAATGGCCTAACTTTTAGACTGAGGAGTGCTCGGTGGTCCATGCTTGCGTACAGTCCTAACAATGACAGGAGAAAATGTTATAAAACACACGAATTACAGGAGTTTTATTAATGTGAGGGAATTTAACAAAAAAATCATACTAAATGCAAACATGGGAGGAAAGTTTGACTTTTAAAAGTATGTGATAACAGTGTAATTCGAAGATTTTATTTAAAAATATTAATCCTGAAATAATGCCCCCACCCCTATAGTTGCCTTATTGACATTTTACTGTATTTCTATAATAGTAATAGTTACTAGTTTTTGTTTTACACAGTATAACTTTACCCTAAATGTTTTATTTACCCTTAAATCTTAAAGACAACTACAAATGAACCTTTTTTTTTTTTTGAGTAAGTGGGGCATAATGCCCCCAAATACATTTATAGCTACCCTGCTTTTTATTGACTTTTCTAGAGAAACATATTTATAAATTTGTTATATTGATATTTCATGTTGGGTTAGTGAAAGGTGCCATGTTATGTTTCAGAATGACTGCAGATCACAGCTGAAACAGGTAGATATGAACACTGTTTAGACTTGGTGTTTCAGCGAACCAGAAACAGGCAGGACCCTGTCTAAACAACAATGCTTTGCAAAATACTGACACTGAGCATTGCTCAGTATCTGTGAGCAAGTGCATTAGTAACTGTAAAGTGGCCAATAAAAATGATTGTGTGGTCTTGAGTTTGTAATTTGAAAAGACTTGTTTAGGTTAACAAGAGTTCATAGCAATAAATTAGTACCAAACCATTTAAGATGCAGATATTTAATTTAGTGTGTTTATATAGCTCCAATTTGCAACAAAAGTTCTCTCAAAGCACTGAATTCAAAAACAAGGACACATTTTAAAAACAAGTCAAATTCAGATTCAAATGTAGTTAGTCAGTTCATTTTTATTATAACATAACAACATGCATCCAATATATGCCATAACATGCTAGTAAAGTTATTTTTCTAAGGAAGCCAACAGATTGTGTCTTTTAACAGAACCATGCTTGCAATTGGCAGCCATTTGCCTTTGACGATCTGAGGTTTGAGAGGACAGGAAAGGGACACAGGTAAACACAGAATGATTGGTCAAGGTGTAGTTTCTATGGAAACAAATATACAAGTTAATGACAGCATTAACCGCATGTATAAACACGGAGAGTAGAGAGAGTAAAGGCGGCAGTCTAGTCTTAAAAGTAGGCAGAGTGTCAGCCTCACGAATAAGATTTGGAATTTGGTTCCACAAGACAAGAGCTTGATAAAAGTTCTGCCTCCCATTTGTCTTTTAGAAACTCGAGGAACCACAAGTAAACATACAGTCCCAAGAGCAAAGTGCGTTGAACTACCTAGGGTTGGGCATAATCGTATTGTGTGCAATTAATCTTCATAAAAACATTAATCGATTATTTTTTGGCACTTGACGATTAATACGGTTAATGCCACCAGGCTGACTGACTGGATATTTCTCCTGTCAGTACGCTTGGTGCTCCTCTCCGCTTCAAAAATGATGAATATTTTTTTAAAAAGTTCTAATTTATTTATCTATCAACATAATTTAGAATTTGATGTATTGCCTGAAGTCTGTAATTTTTACACAATTTGGAAAAGATTTTTACGAGGAGCAAATCTTTCCCACTAAATTGGTCATGTGACTAGGACGGGTGTTCAGGGACTCCAGGGCATTAATCATCAAATTAATCGTTATCGGCTTAATACCACAATTAATCGTGATTAATTTTTTTTGGCCAATATTGCCCAACCCTACCTTTAGCTTTGATTACAGCACATATTCTCTGTGGCATTGTTTGGATTAGCTTCTGCAATGTCGCAAGATTTATTTCCATCCAGTGTTACATTAATTTTTCACCAAGATCTTGCACTGATGATGGTAGAGTCTGACCACTGCACAAAGCCTTCTCCATCACGTCCCAAAGATTCTCATTGAACTCGTGGAGCCGGTCCATGTGTGGAAATAGCCGTGTTTCCATTCAATTTTAATTCGAAATTTGAGCGATTTATTTAATTTTTTTTTTAAATTTCGCAAAAAGGAAAAACGAAGAAATGCAAATCAGACGTGTTTCCATCAACTGGCTTGAAGCAAATCAATTACGTCAGATGCATGTGTGTAGTAAAAAGGAAGTAAAAGTTGCACTCGCAGTGTCCACACATCTCAGGACAATGGAGAGAAGTTATCAGGAACGTGTTGCTAATATCAGGAGTTTTGGCGATGTTACATGCTGTCTGGAGACGTATAGAAAGAAATGCGATTCTCTTCATGTTACGGGAATAACTGAGAGTACGTCTACAGCGGGAGGAGGGTCCAGCTGCAGTTGCGGCTGCTGTCACTCTGGTACTGGTTTTGGACAGACAGTGAAAACAGCTGATCAACATGTGAGGTAAATGTTCGCTACGTCAGACCTTATTCGACAAATGTGTTTCCATCTGTCCTTTTGCGCATTAACTCTTTTTCAAAAAAAAAAAACAAAATCACCTCAAGCGTGCGTATCAACTTTTATGCGAATTAGAGGAAGTATTTTTGAACCATGCTGTTTCCATTCACCTTTTCTGATGTGATACTTCAAAATGTGCATTAAAAATGTTGATGGAAACACGGCTAATGATGTCTCATGCTCCTGAACCACTCTTTTACAATTTGAGCTCGATGAATCCTGGCATTGTCATCTTGGAATATGCCCGTGCCACCAGGGAAGAAAAAAGCTCCATTGATGGAATATCCTGGTCGTTCAGTATATTCAGGTAGTCAGCTGACCTCATGCTTTGAGCACAAACTGTTGCTGAACCTAGACCTGACCAACTGCAGCAACCTCACATCACAGACCTTAGTTCAATCCAGGTGGTGGCATTTTTTAATTTTTAATTAATTTATTTATTTTTTGGTCAGGCAGTGTCCGAAATAAGATTTTAAATATTTACGTGTGTAGAGATCATAAAACACCCATCCACCAGATTTTCGAAATGGATATTTTATTAACTTTGTTGAGTGTTTGAGAAAATGTGATGTGACTTTTTGTTGTTGTTTGATGCTGAAATTGAGACATTCTTATTTAAAGTGGCTGAGATATTCTTGCTCAGATTTTTTTCTCAGACGCTTTCTCACGTAGTTGAAGGCCAGTAAGGTACTTGGGCAACGTAAGTAGCTGTAAAATGAACACTCCTCGTTTTCATTCAGTCTCCTGTTGCCAGGAGTCTGGATGAGATGCTGAGGAAAAGGTGGAGAGAAAAGATACCAGCAGGTGAAGTGTGAGGGGAGTCAGGTTGTTGATATGATGATTTAGTGTTAAATAAGACTTTCAAACTAGAGATGCACCAATCCAAAATCAATATCTGTATAAGTCTCGATATTGAAACAGATTCTAGATTAGGTATTGTTGACAATGGGCCAATCCATAGGGGCAGATTTATTCAGTCTACTTCTATGCTGCGCCCTGTGAGTGACRGCATACTCCAGTGACATGCAACACAGACTCACATTGTTTTTATAATGGAGCGAGCAAAAGGATCAGCCATCTGGAACCTTTTCACTCTACCTCAGCCAACACATTAGCTGGTAGTTTACCATCTAGAGCCACGCTACGACACGGTTAGCCGAAAATATTTGCCGGAAGCGGCAATACCTGAACTGCACAGTAAAGTGTGTAAACGCATATTAGAGGAGATAAAAGATGTCAAAGCAATGAGTTTTAATTGATATGTTTTACATTAAATTTTGAATTATTAATTGCAGTGGCAGGGGCATTTAAAAGAGGATGTGTTCCAGTTTGTTTTTACATTTTTGATAAAGCTAAGCTTTTGTTTTTTCTTTATTTATTATTTTGCGTTGGGCATTATGCTCCTAATTGCACTGACTGAGTAAGGTTAAGTTATTTTAAGATTGCTGTAGGCTTCTGCTGCACAGTGATAAAATAAATTTGCAACTGTAAAATACATTTATGCTATATATGTGTTTAATCAAATACAAAAGAGAAGTCAATTCAGAGTTGGGCTTTTTTTTGTTATCGGCCGATACTAAACCTCGAATATCGGCATCAGATGTGAAAAAAGTGGATTGGCGCATCCCTATTGCAAATGGCAAAGATGAAAGAAAATAAAAGTTTTTGTGTACACGTGAGTTTTAAACTCATTTCTGTCCCTTTCTGTTTTTGGTTGTTTTTCTCCAGACAGGCACTGATGTAAAACCGCTGTGACAGCAGTCCTGCTCTCTACCTCTGGTCCTTGGCGCCTCACAGGATGACTTCAGATGACAAATATCAACAAATAGAAACCCCTTCCTCACCCTGAATCCTCCACTTCCTGTGGACTCCTGAGAGCGTTGACACATTCATTCTCAGTTTTCTGATTACCTGTCCGAAGGAGCGGCAAACAGTTTGCTACAAAAGGAGTTAAAACACCTCCACTCGTTCTGGTGGAGGTGCCAGAAGAGCCGTCTGTCTCCCCTCACCTTTCATCTTTTTCAAGAATAATTTTCGTTCTGGTTGATTTGAGTCCGGTTCTGCCGGCCCTGTGAGTTGTCAAAACTGGGGCGCGATTCATGGGATGCAACCATGTCGGATCTTAGCGAGCGCAGGCCGGTCAACACGGACTACGCTGTCTCCCTGCTGGAGCAGCTCAAGTTTTTTTATGAACAGAAATTACTGACTGACGTGGTGCTGCTGGTGGAGGACACCGAGTTTCCATGTCACAAGATGGTCCTGGCCACATGTAGCTCCTATTTCAGGTGAGTGTGCTGGCCTTGTGATGCCTGTGTGGAATAACACATGTATGCTTATGTGTTTTGGACAAACAAGTGTGAGGACGGGGGAAAAGATTGTTAAATATTCACCTTTTGTATTAATAACGCACCACATTGTCAAGACGCTTTGCCTTTTTATAGAGGTGTTGCAAAACAAAATGTTGTCAACTGAAGCTGTGTTGTGTACCAGTTGTTACATTGCTGATAGATATGTTTTTTTACATGAAACAATTGTAATTGCTAACAGACATTTCCCTCTCGTTTCTGTGGAGGCCTCATCCATACACAACGTTGCATAATAAAGTGTGCACTGCAGTGACTGTGACAGAGCTGCAGCCCCATGTCTGGGAAATGCCCATCTGTAGCGCCCAAACTTGCTGCATCATCTTTCAGAAACACTTCCAGATGACTTCATGCCTCTCCCACCTCTCATGTTGCCCCACACACACACACACACACACTCAGAGTTTCAAGGCGGCTTAGCACTTCCGCAAACCCGCTTCCCCCTTCTGCTTCCTCTCCGGCCACCTCTTCTCTTCATACATGCCTCCCTTGCTTCGGGGAAGGTGGTGGTGGGGAGGCGGGGTTTCGAGAGAGAGCTTGTCTTTGTTGAGGGAAAGTCTGGTCACGTAGGTCTGGTAAGAGATGAGGGGAAATGGGGGGTGGGGGTTACAAGGGTAATCCTGCAGGGTTGTGTAATGCAGCCTGGCGGGTTTAGCCCCTGCTGTGGTTAACACACAGAGACACACCTCCCCAAAACCCTCTGTATTGTCTAAAAAGCAGAGTTCCTGTTTTTAATTGTTCTGAAATCTTTCAATGAACCCACAATGATGGAGTGCTTTCAGGAATGCAGCTAGTGAGGATATTTCCTGTTGTTTCCTTCACTGATGATTCATCAGATGATTATTGGGTTTTAAAACCAAGAACAAGAAGTTCTTGAAGTAAAACATTTTCCAAATGTTTTACTTGAATTTTTCTAAAACATTTTCCAAATGTTTTAGAGGCAAAAATTAGTAAAAAGCCTGAATAATTAACTCGGAGAGTAAAACAAGCTAATATTTCACGAGCCAAATAAATAATTTGTGTCAGAACTTCGAGATGTATTTAGTTCATTTGTAGAGCCATTCCCAAAGACAAAGGTGATTATAGTTTAATACGAGAAAATTGCGCGTATTTACAATCTATATTCTTTGTCTAATGCTTAATTATTTATAAACCAGAAGCAACAGAAACTTGTACATAAACTTGTATACTGGCTGCTATTGCATCCTCAAATGTTTAAACATTCATCAAAGTGTAGTGCATGGTTTTTAAAGGCTGGGTTTTTTTTTTTTTAGATTTTTATGTAGACATTTATCCTTATCCATCAATCCAAACCTCCACCAATAAAACATTAATTTGAATAGTTTATCTATTTGCTGCAAGTTCTTTTTTTTTCATGAAAAATGCTTTTAATACAAGCTGCTAATAGTGATCAGAAATTGTACCCTAGTAAATATAGAATATTTCAGTAATCTTTGAGTGTTCATCTGAATCTTAATGAGCATTTTTAAATTTAGGTTTTATTTTTGTTTTAAAACCAGTAATTTTACAAACAGGGGAAAAAAGTTTGTCCCTTTTTACCACCTGAAGCATTAACAAGTTGAAGAAATATCAGGTGAAGTAATGATCAGCCAAGTAGATCCTGCTTCTGAGGGAAACAGTAGCCATGTTTCCATCCAATTTTAATTCACAATTTAAATTTGAATTTTTTTTTTTTTAATTTTGCAAAAAGGACAAAATGAAGAAATGCAAATCAGATGTGTTTCTATCAACTGGCTTGAAGCAAACCAGTTACATCAGACACATGCGTGTAGTAAACAGGATGTAAAAGTCGCATCTCAGGACAATGGAGAGAAGTTATCAGGAATGTGTTGCTACTGTCGGGAAAGTTGTACTTATTCTGTCATTTCAACTAGTTCTGACGATGTTACATGCTGTCTGGAGACATAGAGAAAGAAATGCAATTCTCTTCACGTTACGGGAATAACTGAGAATACTCCGACAGCGGGAGGAGGGTCCAGTTGCAGTTGATCTAGTATCGGTACCATTCAGACAGCAAGAACAGCTGATCAACCACGTGAAGTAAATGTTCGCTACATCAGAACTGATTCGGCAAATGTGTTTCCATCTCTCCTTTTGCGCATTAACTCTTTTTTTAAAAAACAAAAACCACCTCAAGCGAACGTATCAACTTGTGCAAAATTATAGGAAGTTTTTTTGAATCATGCCGTTTCCATTCACGTTTTCTGATGTGATACTTCAAAATGCGCATTAAAAAATATTGATGGAAACAACACGGCTTGTGAGTTCCCACCAAAGAGGGGACCTCCCAGAACAAAATCCGAGTAACTCATGAAGTGAGGGACACTTAAGTAAGCGTGACTCATGGTCTCGTCTGATGAGTGACACTGAGGAGGTGTGGGCGGTTTGCTGAGTTTGCTGCAACATGGGAGTCTAAACTTTGCCACTAAATGTCTGCCAGAGATGCTGGACCTGAATGTTGGTTTTCTGATGTTTTCTGTAAATCTGTTGGAGAAGCTAACCAGAGCTGGTAAGAACTGGAAATGTCCCGATCAGCAAGTTTCTGTCTCCAGTATGACTCATTTAAGTTGGTCAGTACATTTAAATCTTGGCTTCCCAAACTTTTTAGCTTTTAACCCAGACAATAGCAGTAGCAGCCACCAGCTGACGTTAGCTGAAATACAATCTAGGTTAAAACTAATTTAAAGTAAGCTTAATGACAACCTCAGTGAAGACTTGTTTTCAATATATGATGCCTGATTTTATTTCTTGTGACAAATATAATATTAGCAGTCATATTAAAATGTTATTTGATTCCTGGTAATCCACTTGGTAGTACACATCCCACAGTGAGGTGTAGTCCCTAACATTGGGACGTTTCAATCAACCCCACAGGGAGGTGTTGCCTCATGTACTTCACACGTTTTACTGTAACATCCACAGACCTGCCAGATGAGCACCAAACGTTAAATCAAAAACAGTCAATCCTGTCTGCCCTCAGACAGATGTCACGACTCCAGATGTGAAGTCAGTAGTGATGAGATCAAACATTTTAGATGTTTGCAGACCTTTTTTTATAGCTCAGGGAGCTTTGTGTCAGGTAAAACATGTACTGTGAGATAGTTAGAACTTACTCATCTTGTTTTATTTTTTATTTATTTTTTGTTTTTTCCCTTCTGTGGAAACTTTAGTTGCTTTATGACTCTGACATAAATTTCTGATTCAAGTATTTTAAACGACAGACGACAAACCAAGTTGGTTTTGTACTATCTTAAAAAAAACTGCAGACACCCTGCCACAACTGGGGTAGTGTTACTGAAGTGCTGATTTAACATAGATCTGGATTTATACTGTGGTCTAGATCAAACAACCTGTAGCTTCAAATAGTTGAAACTGTGATTGGATAGTTCATTAAAATATAAGATCTATGAGTGGAACCTCAAAGCTAATATCAATCAATTATTGATGCACTGGAATGAATAATATCATAAAAATATGAAATATTTCATTGACAAAGTAGTTGATTGATTAAACCTGTAAACAACTAACACACTTTACTTCCTTTGACACAGTGCTACAGCTTGTGTAGCATGGAACCTGGATGTTTGTGGGAAATGACACGAACATGTTGACTGTAGCAGTATCCAGGCTCCAGTCTGTTTGTCCAGCCACATTGGCGAGCCGCCAGGTGTCATTAGGAGGTTTTGTTTATTTAAAAGATCCACTTCGTGTGGTAAAACGGTCACCACGAATAAGTTTAGTTTTTTCATTCATCTGTCCCGATTTAGACAAATCATTACTTTGTTTCTTATCTAGTCGGACATTTAAATAGGAAACTAGATTATCAAAAGTTAATTATAGATTAAAATCATATTAAGCTTTTTTACAATTTACTGGAAACTTCTGTTTTGACAGTCGTGCATTTGGTTCAGATTTATTTTTTTCTTTTTTCAGCTGCTGCCATGTTGACCAAAAGTCTGTTTGGTTTGTTACGTTTCCCCTGCAGGGCGATGTTTATGAGCGGCCTCAGCGAGAGCAAGCAGACCCATGTTCATCTCAGAAACGTGGACCCCACCACCTTGAAGATCATCATCACCTACGCCTACACGGGCAACCTGGCCATTAGCGACAGTACAGTAGAGCCGCTCTATGAGACCGCCTGCTTCCTACAGGTCGGTAAAAACAAAGTGATGGTCCAAATAGGCATGAAATTCTGTTGTCGACATATCACACAAACATGACGTCTTAACTCTTCTCAACATAGTTATTCTCAATTGTTTATTTCTGGAAGCTAAATACATCATGTATCACATTTGATTGTTGGTAATGTCTAAAAAAATACTGACAAACTGATTTATCTGGTTTTGTCATCTCTGTCCCCTTTAGGTGGAAGATGTTTTGCTGCAGTGCAGAGACTATCTAGTTAAGAAGATAAACGCAGAGAACTGCGTCCGCATGCTGAGCATCGGCGACCTTTTCAGCTGTAGCGAGCTGAAGCAGAGCGCCAAGCGCATGGTGGAGCACAAGTTCCCCAGAGTTTACCGCCAGGAGGCCTTCCTGCAGCTCTCCCACGAGCTGCTGATAGACATCCTGAGCAGCGACAACCTCAACGTAGAGAAGGAGGAGACGGTGCGTGAGGCGGCCATGCTGTGGTTGGAGTACAACATGGAGGCACGCTCACAGCACCTCTCCTCCGTGCTGAGTCAGATCCGCATCGATGCGCTGTCAGAGGTCACCCAGCGAGCCTGGTTTCAGGGTCTGCCCCCCAACGACAAGTCTGTGGTGGTGCAGGGCCTTTACAAGTCCATGCCCAAGTTTTTCAAGCCTCGGTTAGGCATGACCAAAGAGGAGATGCTCATCTTCATGGAGGCCATGTCAGAGACTCAAAACAAGATCTACGTCATGTCCATGTTTGTGCCTACTACAATAGTGTGTTACAGCCCGCAAGCAGAGAAGGTCTACAAACTCTGCAACCCTCCAGGAGACCTGCAGAAGATGGGAACCCTCGTTACTCCTGACAATGATGTATACATTGCTGGTGGACAGATCCCCCTCAAAAACCCCATCACCAATCATGGCAAGAGTGGAAAATTCCAGGCCGTTTTCCGCTCAGTCGATAGCTTTTTCTGGTTTGATGCCCAACAGAATGCCTGGATGCCTAAAACGCCCATGCTGTGCGCCCGCATCAAGCCCTCGCTGGTCTGCTGCGAGGGCTACATCTATGCAATTGGTGGAGATAACGTCGGCGGCGAGCTGAACAAGCGCACGGTGGAGCGCTACGACTGCGAGAAGGACGAATGGACCATGATGAGTCCGCTGCCATTCGCTTGGAACTGGAGCACCTCAGTGGTGGCACACGACTGCATCTACGTGATGACCCATGATCTGATGTACTGCTATTTCCCCCGGGCGGACACCTGGGTAGAAATGGCAATGCGCAAGACGAGCCGCTGCTTCGCCTCCGCGGCCGCCTTTGGCGACCTAATCTTCTACATCGGCGGCCTCCACGTCGTCAGCAACTCCGGCATCCGCATGCCGACCAGCACCATCGACGGCTCTTCCGTGACCGTAGAAATCTACGACGTGAACAAGAACGAGTGGCGCCTGGCCGCCAACATCCCCGCCAAGCGCTACTCGGACCCCTGCGTGCGGGCGGCGGTCCTGCTCAACTCGCTGTGCATCTTCATGCGGGAAACGCACATGAACGAGCGCGCCAAGTACGCCATCTATCAGTACGACGTGGAGCTGGACCGCTGGTACCTGCGGCAGCCCGTGTCCGAGCGGGTGCTCTGGGATCTGGGAAAAGACTTCCGCTGCACCGTGGGGAAACTGTACCCCTCTTGTTTGGAGGAGTCTCCGTGGAAACCCCCGACCTACCTCTTTTCGCCTGATGGAGCCGAGGAGTTCGAGGTGGACGGAGAGCTGGTGAACCTCCCTCATGTATAGCTCTCAACTCCCCCCACTCCCCAGCCTCACTGACTGAACGAGTGGCCTGTAACCCTGAGGCATGAACACAAAGGGAGGGGGGCTTCGGCATAACCAAAGGGTTCTATGTCCGTTTAGTGGAGGGATCGCTGGACTTGAACACAAGCCCCTCAAATACTCAAAATATTGAACATTTCCTGGTTTTGGTTCTTTTCTGTTTGTTTTTACTTTGTGACATCTGTTAGAAATGTCTGTCATACTGTTTTTCCAATGTGMTGATCTCAAACTAATTTTGTGTTGAGGATTATGATGATGATGATGCACTTAACCGATAAACCTTCTGATTAATGGTAATGGCAACTGTACCAAAATCCTCCCCCCAACCCCAGACCCGTTTAACTTCTCAACTTCCCTCTCGCCCCCTACTTCTCTTTCCTTTTTCCTCATTGCTGATGTAGAAATACTCTGCAGAAAATCAAAACTCGCTCTCTGAAGGTCACAAAGTTTCACTTCTTTACCATTTATTGAGCTTAACAGTTTCTAAAGATTTGCTACACTAAAACTGGGTATAAATGGGCTTAAATATGGATGTAAATATGTCCACAACTCCAAACTTTAAATCCAGACTTGAACTTTGATAAATGTGTATGTAATAATTGATTAAACAATTAATATGTCTAATTATCTGGTTAAAATATTGCCTAATTGGCTGCAGCCTAATTAGTCAAGTTTTTTAGTTGTAAAATGACAAATAATTATTATATAAAGTATCTAATCCAAAGGGAAGAGGGCAGTAATGGTTTAACCTGTCTCTTGGTGTAACTGAATGGGTTTWAATAAAAATTTCAGATAGTACCGGTAAATAACGGGTTGTACATCTACAACTACACCTTTTATTGGAGTTGATACAGTTTGTAATGGCTGCCATGGCTTATTGACCTTAGCCTACCCTCCAAAATGAAAATAATAAAAAATAACTACACCTCAGTGACTTTTACAGATAGTTAACTCAAATTTTGTGCAGTAATAGCCGGAGGTCATACGCAGCACACACTTTCACACACACTTGTTTTCATTGACCAAACTAGCCACAACACCCAATATTTCTCAGCATAGGATGACCTCAGTTCAAAACTCTGGCATGAAAAGCAGCGTGCGTTCCTTAAAGGAATGTGAGGCCGTATATATATTATCTGTATTCTTTACAAATAAAAAAAGGGCTCGTGGGTGAGTGTGAGAAACTTGATTTTCAGCAGGGTATTCCTTTGAAAACAGATTTCCTCTAAAGGCCATGCAGATGAGAGGAGCGGCAGCCGAGGTTTGCAGGAGGACTGACGGGTGGAACGAGCGAGAAGTGGAGGTTTAAAAAAAAAAAGATAATTAAGTGACTGCAGGTCCAGTCTCTTCTAGCCTCGCTTCATCCCGCTCGAACCCCCGCGCTCCGTCCTGACTCCGCCTTTGCTACCTGTCCATCAYGTCTGCTGCACACGGGTCTTCCACACAACCAGCAGTTTACACCTCAGTCTGTCCATGCTCACTTTGGTTGTTTTTTTTTTTTTTTCACCAGGGTTTCTGTCCTCACACTCTACTCGCAGTAAACAACAGGTTCTGGGCTCGTGTTTTTTTTAAGCTGCTGAAAGATATAAATAAATAAAGTACATATATTTTTCATATGTTTAAGACATATGTTTTGTATGTTTTAGTGTGGATGGGGGGGTAACCAGGTCTATTTTGTATTAGTGTCTTTTTTTTATTTAATATCATTTAATATGACATTACTGTAGTGTGATTGTGGGTAGATCACGTTTTCTTATCGGATTACATTTTGCTGAGTGAATATTGAGAGATTTTGTTGCTGCTGATGGTTTGCAAAAGGAGAGTCTGGCCCAGGGTTTGGGCTTCAGACCTCATCCTGGCAGCCGCTGGTATCAGTGGAGAGGGACGAGTCAGRGCGGGAGAGGGGGGGTTCTCCTCGTATCTTTAAAAACATGAGCACAGGTGCTTCATGGCAAACTTAACCTAGCATGTTTGGATGCATCATTTTCCTTCTGGCACTGTATTTTGGATGAACGTTAATTTATTAAAAAAAAAAACATACCAAAAACGTTCTGGAAATGGACTCCTGTGTTTGGTTTGTTCGAAAGGAAAATGTGACCTCAGCAGTCACACTAAAATGTTTTGGACAATTTATGTCAAATAATGAAAAAAAGAATATTTCCACTGAATTACTAATAAAATATATTTGACCATTTGGTCATTATCCTCCTAGAGAACTATGCATTCTGCATAGAAGTATTATCGTTTACCTTTTAAATTTATTTTGCTGAATTGAATCATTTAAAAAAATGTACCCGGTAAATCAATTTTTATATGAAGAATGAATATTTTCTACTTCAAGGTAAGGGAGGTATCTTGAGTCTTGCAGTGCTCCTTCTTTAAGGCCAATGAGCTCTTAACCATGTGTATATATA